TGATAAAGTAGATTATATACTTTGGAGAGACTCTGACATGTGATAGATAGCATAGAGAATAACAGACCCATTAGAGACAAGACAAACATATTCTCCAACTAATTGACCTACTTAATATAATAGAATATAATACATATATTATGTTCAATATGCTTAGTTATTTAAATCATCTATTTACATAATTATATAATATATTGAAAAATTATATAATATAATTAAATATATATAAATAATTAAAAATTATAATAATATAATATACAATTAGATCAGTTCTTTGTGTTCAATAAAGCATTATTTATTTTGCATTAAAACTTAATCAAGCGTTTTTTATTCATTCTATTAATCATGAATCACTACATATGCATCGTATATATTATATATATTTTTTAAAAGGTCGTGTCTGGTCCCCACGCACATTCGTTACACAAATTTTGACAAGCTTTTAAGCACATGCTATAAAATTTCTAAGAAATTGAAGTTCGCTGCCTAAGTCATTTGTTTTAACGAAGTTCATTTAAGAAAGCCGCAATAAATTTATCATATTAAAATAAAAACATGAATAAACAAATATATATAAACGTACTTGCAATTAAACTAGCCGACAAATTTTTGGAGAAGACAATTGGCATACGACGCGCTGCCAATTCGAATGTCAAATTTGAGTCTCTGCTAATTGCCACAAAGTGTCAACTAACTGCTGTTAATGCTGTCACAGTTGTTGTTGTTGTTGTTGTTGCTGCTGCTGCTTTTGTTGTTGGTGGTGCCGAGGTTGTCCTCCTTTATTTTTTGGTGGGGCACATTCTAACGCCTGTGACATATCACGAACTTTGTTTTGAGAAATGCAAATTCAGGCAAAAGATAAATTTGCATTGCGCTCGCATTTGAATTGAGTAATCACCGCAGAGATTCGTAGAAATCGAAAGGCATGCGTGACTGGCCAAATAACTGACAAACCCCAAAGCCCAAATCCACCACCCCCCTCTCGATTCACCCACACTCCTAAAAACTGATTGACTTACTGCCCAATTGAACCCGTCTTTGAACCCTGGCCAAAAATAAGAAACTCATAATAACAAAACGCTTGAACTTTTGACTGACCGACGCCGCAGGGCATTGTAAACAAAAACCTTTTTGTAATAATGCGCGATAAATAGATATGCTTTGATTTCTGCATTAATGTTTCCAAATCAAATTTCGATAGACGACTTCTGTGTCATTCAACACAAATCATTATTAACAAAATTGTGAGTGTAATACGAGTCACAACAGGATAGCCCGTGGAGATATTGAGGCGCTTCTTTTGTATAACCTACGAGACTTCATTATTTTTCGCCTTAATTATGTTTCTTTTCATTATTTCAGTTATATTTTAAATATTTGAATTGTATCAAGGAAAAATATAGATAAATAAAAAACTCTTATTGTTATATAAACTTGTAGTTTTTGTTTGAGGCGTGCTCTACAGTCAAATTATTTCTTCAAAAAAGTATTTCATATTAGAGCCTACAAAGAAACAGGCAGACAGATAGGCGGATAGATGGACGGACGGATGTTGGCGTATCAAATCGGCTGTTGGTCTAGAATATATATACTTTATGGGTTCGGCGAAGTATTCTACTACTTCATGACAAGATTATAATACCCTCAACATGGCTAAAAGAACGTGACAATGATATTTTAATTGAAGTTTAGGGAACATTTCACAACTGACCTAATTATAAAGACCATTCCCAATACTTCCTTCATTCGCAACTCATTGCAACGTCATTAGCAAATATCAAAGCAACTGACTCTTGTCTCGAGCTGAAGGTCACCTTAGTTCAATCCGGCTACTACAATTAATTAACCAACATTCTTATGTAATTTAAGATGTCAATAGACTCATGATCTTTTGATAGTCTTAAAGTTCGTTTTGATTTCTATTTGCAGTCTTTACCTGCAGATTGTCCCCTGGGCTCAATCAGTTGGGCCTCTGCAGGCATGGGCTTCTTTTTGATTTACGATTGTGATTCGCGTATCGAATGCCTGTTGATTTTTAGACGAATGCATTCAATAGATTCGTGTGCTTGCCCTTGTTATAGTTGTAGCTTGTGTTTGTTTTGATTACAATTCATTACGTAATGCTTCTCTCTTGGGTGCTGACGTTGCAGTTATTGTTGCTGTTAACGCTTAACTCATCTAATTGAACTTTGAACCAAATATTTTGGTTAATTTGCTAGCCTTACTAAATTGAATTCATTTGTTATACAACCAAAAGCAGAACAGGGTACACCCAACCAGCAAAGAGGCCTTGAATGCACTTAAGTTATGACAGAGATGCCTGCTCCACATCGGGCCGCTCCAAATGCAAGTCTGGTAGGTGAGATCGACTGGGCAATCACTTGAGCCGCTCTGGTGGAAACTCAATTAATGTCGTTAGTTTCACTTGAGTCCGTCTGGTAATGCACTTTATTTATTTTTTGTTTTATTTTTTGTGAGCCTAGCAAATGTCAATCAGGCCGTACGCATTTCTGGGCGCAGTCTGGCATGTGGCTCGCCCTGCCGCAAGCGGCTGCCTGTCGTGGTTAGAACCAAGTCCAATTTGACTGGCAATGCGTCGACTTCATTAAGATAAATATCTGTGTTCCCTGTTCTATTAGTCAAGCGGCTGTCATAGCTCTGCTTATTTATTACCTGCGTTATCCAAACTACAAAACGGTGTACGATCAAAATTATTCAAATTTCACAGAAACTTTTATACTCTTACATGACTAAAAATATTTTATTTTAAATATCTAGCTAGGTTTTTTACCGTACATTGGCATAGCAATCCAACTAAAGATTAAGTATTTCTAGATACTTTAAACCTAAAAAATATAAAATATTTTAAAATAATTTCTAAATATTCAAAAGTATTCAAAATATTATCCAATCTGAAAATACTTTCATAAGCAAAACAAAATACATTATATTTATTTATATATATTTTTGAGACTTTCCTATCACAACATGTTGTAAACAATATAAATTTGCTATAAGGAAACGCATATGAATACTACGCTTTTCCATATATGTATATATTACATCAATATATGCATATTTGAATAATTCTCTACCTTATATAGTCAAATAGACCATTTGGTTGTGCTGTGTGCTAGAGTATACAAAATGTGAATTCAATGCGGTTCGTTAATTTGCAACCTTAACGCATTAATGGCCTTAGCCCGGGTGTTAATTTAAGTTGTCAAAATATATATTTAAGCCAAGTAAGAAAAAGATGCACACAAAGATTAAACAAAGTTTTTGTATAGTGTCTGATATATCTGATTATATATAATACGTGTTGACTTCTGTTTTTGTAGCCCCTGACTAGAGCATTAAATGTCAATCAAGTAATCAGAATTGTATCGCAGATCCTCAAGTCCAAGCTCAATGGCCTTTTGTTTGATTTTGTGTTTTTCGCACACAATTTAAAGTCGTGGGAATCAAATTTGCATATGCAAATCAGATATTCGTCTTTTTTTTTTTTGGCGAATTTTAGTCAAGTTTTATTTAACTAAGCTTGGCCAATGCCATCATGTAATCAAACATGGGACAAACATTTACTTTCAAGCCGGAAGTGAAGGAGTCTGAATAGCTTATACAGAATATATAACCAACCATATGCGTGGCCATACAAATTCGATGACCATCAATTGGCAATCAAAAGACTTAGGCAACAAACTGGCTCAACTCAATAGATTTTCGCACATATTTGAAATGCCAAATGAAAATGAAATGCGTTAAGCAGTTAACACGCTGCACGTAAGAGCCAACAAATGTCTATCGACTGCAGTACATGAATTATTCATTAGACAGGAGTTCAGATCCAGAGCAGAGCACAGACTCTGCAGATATTTGGGACACTGGAGTCCACATTGGAGTCCACACTTTCTGAGCATTTGTTCGCCTTGGTGTTTGACAATCTGTCGCTGGCAGCTCGTATTGTATGTTAATTTGTGTTCATTACAAGCAAACGGTTGTTAGACCTACCGCAGCTGCTCTAATGTCTCCAATGGCTTATTCAGCTCGATTTCATTTGAATCTGGAATTGGTACTCGAATTTGACATTTTCAATTTCAATTAACTGACTGCACTTCATCGTCGTCTCATACTCTCGTAATTTTTAGTGTCTTGAATGTTGTGCGCTCAATTAAAATTAATATGCAAATTTGTCCAGTTATCTTGGCTCTCTTGCAGCGACTGACATCTGTCCGATTGATTAAAGCTAATTCAAAGTATTCAGATCGAATATTGTTATTGTAATTGCTAACTTTTACTTATATATTTTATGGTGAAATCTGGAATTTGCTGTTCGTGCGACCGACTTGTCGTTGCTGCTGTCTTGACAAAGGAGAAACCTGATCTAGAATATCGTACAATGAGTTGCAATAAATTTTATATTTTAACACATCTAATTGTGTATTTATATTGGCGACATTTCGCGACTGTCTTGTTTTTTATTCTATTGTCAAGCTGTTTAACTCAGGCAGCACCAAGTTATATAATATTCTAGTATTCTATATGTTTCCCAGCTGAACTGACTTTTTTATCTAATCAACGTTTTTTTTTTAATATTTAAAGAGGAGCATTATTCATTGTTTGCATATTATTTGCATATGTATATAAACGTTTTGTTCAGCAACAAAAATTTCAAATGTTTAAATATTTTATGTCACAAAAATAAATTGCGAAACAGTTTAATTGAACAGATTTTTTAAATACTTGAAGTTATATTGTATTAAAATACGTTACTGGGAAATTAGTGTTTGTTCCGAACAAATAATTAAAATATTTATTTTATGAAATTTAAAGTAATATAGAAATTTAATTTGACTTAGTTCTTAAAAAAATAATATTTTTGTTGTACAATTAGTACTATGTATTAATTTAAAAATATATAAATGCACCATTTTATTTGCAACCATTTTTTTAGTCGTATTCTTGAACAAAATAGCCTCCAAAACGCACATAAAACTCACCTTGGATTAATTTATAACCGTGTGCAACTGCCTATAAATATATATGTATCCAAATATTACGTATACGTCGTAGCTGCAAATGCAAATTTATATTTATAAATGTTAATTAACATATAGGAAGAACAAAATTCTCTAGAAATTCATATTAATCTTATTTATTTGAATTTGCAACAATTGTTTTAATTTGCATAACACACAGATAAATTAAGAAGCTCGTTTAATTTCTTTATAAATTCAAAAAGAATCTGGATGATCACAATAGATTTATATTTATATTATAAAGTTTATTCATTTACTAAACACCTACACCTCACTTCCGCGCCGCTTAACTTTAAGTTTAAATATCTTTGAGATACTTTTAGCCGCGCACGCGATGCTTTCAGTCTGAAGCCGTTTGCTCCACTGAACCACTTTTTATGCAACGCCAAGTTGAAGTAGCTAGCGACTCGAACAGCTTCGATCTGTCTCAGCCGGAAAGCCGAGGCTTTAGGCACAGCCGAAGCGAAATCCGCAGTTGCAGCCGAATTGCAAGCGAAGCTGCCGAAGCTGTTCAGATCCAGGCGAATATACGTATACGGTTTGTGTCTTGGGTAAGGCGTGCCCGCAATATATTCAAAAAAATATAGAATCGAATACATTTGATTATCGTTTTGATGCGAGCTGCTGTCCATGGCCTTTGTTTAACTTAATTAAATTCGCAAACATATTTTATTTTTGGCTAGCGCTCAGCTCTTGTGGCCTCACAATAAGTTGCCGGCTAGATGGCCGCAATTTTGCATATTGTTTTATGTACATTTGGATAAATCATGCCCAAATTAGTCATAAATTGTTAACTGAAAATACACGTATCGCCGGTGGCACTTTGAAATTGGCAAACAATTCATTTTTCAACTGCACGCTCGTGTTTTGATTATAGAAATCATAAATTCAATTTAATAACTTTATTCGAACAATTCAGACGGAATTCTCGATGCTGCCCGATAGACACGCCTCGCCTGCTTTATCAACTCATAAACTATACAAAGTGGCAGCGTGTGCATGTAAAATTTCATAATCACCTCAGTTCAAGCATAATTTTTGCTCGGCATCTGCATGGATTGCATGCACCGTGCACCATGCGGCATGCGGCATGCGGCATGTCGATTCGCGTTGTGTTGTGCCAGCCCATATACAAGCCCAATGGGTCGCACCAAAGTGAGTGTGAATTATTGCACTTTGTCTCAACACGACTTCACTTCACTGGGCCGGCCACAAGACCGCGGCCAGAGCCATTGACAAAATATGCACCAAATATGGAACTAGTACACGTCTAAGTATGTACAGCCGGAATATGGTCAGGCAAATTGTAAGCCACGCCAAGCTAAATGCTATCTAAATGGCATTCATTTCACTCTTACATAAACTCTGACAAGCCTCTGCAAAAAGGTTATGCAACTCAGTCGACCGCGAACTGCCCAAAAAGATGGCAATCACTAATTAAAAGCTGAGCTTCTTAAATATGTTATGCGGCTTGTGGATCATTAAATATATCTAAGAATAAAATTAGCTTTTAGCGAAAACCTCAAAATTCTTGCCAAATAACGTGAGGCAAGAGATTAAATAAGTAAAATGTAATTAGCCGTCTTCTCAAAGTATGCCATAAAGATTCACCATAAAATAAAGAATTTAGCTACAATATTAAGAATATTGACCTTATTGACTTCTAATATGTATATTTGGAACATCTGGTCAGCTTTAAATACGTTGAGTTATCTGAGAAGAGTATTAAGGCTTCGTATATCTAAACGCAACGCTGCTTTCATTAATACTGTTTCTTATTGTCAGCAAATCTTCAGTTTAATAATAATGTGCTTTGTAATCAATGAAACTTGTTGTTGCTTTTACGGAACTTTAGTTTTACTTTCAAGCGAACCAGTTTTTGGCAATATTTGACGGATTCTTTTGTGTCTATTAAAGCCTTTGTATCACTTTTAAATCAAATGTTGACAATCGGCTGTTGCGGCGATTTCCTGTTCAATTTGCATATTATGGCCGCAAAAAAAAAGACAAAAATAAATTAAATTTTGAACATTTCAACGCCTTCCATTAACACCCCGAAAATAACAGACTACGAGTCCGGCTTAGATATCATACTACTTCTATACCCAAAGACCACCCTGAGTAATGGCTTGTCACTTGGCTGACAACTCAATTGACGCTGACGCTTTTTGTTTGCCCCGACTGGCTGCTGGTGGCTAATGCGCTCCAGACACGCAACGCCTGAAAAGTCATCGTCAACTAATTCCCACCGAAAAAATCAGCTCTAATAACAGCAGCAACAGACTGAGGCGCACGTTTACAGCAAATAAAATTAGCTGCCTGTCTTGGTAATTGCGGCACGGCCAAAGCCAAAAGCCAACCAAGTTCCAGTCACCAGCCACGACGATGACGATGTGGACGTGAGCCCAGAGACTGCATTCTGCATTTGGCAAGAAGAACGAGGGTTGGAAAACAAGATTTTCATTATTTCGCCAAAGTGTCATAGTTCTGCATTTAAATATAAGTAGAAAATATGAGACTACATACAGAATTGACAAAACCCTATGACTAAACAACTTGATTTTTGGCTCAACTTTAAGCCAAAAACAAAATACATCAAATCTTTGGCTGAGATATCTCTATGTCAGGAAATTTAAACAAGTTGAGGCACTTTGTCGTCTTCAAATTAATTCTATATCAAAAATTATATAACATTTTAAAAAGAAACAACAACTTAATAAGAATTTGCTACAGCAACAGACTTAATAAGCAATCAAAATAAACTTATAAATTTTATTATGTATTTGTTTTTTTAATTATTTTAGACAACTTTATTTTTAATTCAGAAGTAAGCGCGAACTCAGCATTGTGATATAGGTTATATATATAAAATTCAAAGTTTTAATCTGCAGCCAGTAAAATAATTACAAAATGGCAAGGTCACCAAAACCAACAATACATAAAATTCAAATATATCTATTTTTATAATCTTCGATTGTAAATTATAGAATAATAAAAATAAAACAGGTTTATTTCCAATTCCATAATAATAGAAATCTCAATTCTTTAAATATTCTTTACATAATTACATAATAATAAGCAGTTGCATTATATATGGAGAATTTAAGAGAACATCCTTTATTAAAAATATTTTTAAAACTTCTTATATATATTTTATATTTTTTTATATTTTGCAATGCTTTGGCTAAGGCTTAATGAGAAAACTGAACGAGTTCATTATTGAAACATTATTTATGAAAGCAGAACATATTGCATGTGTTTTCAAAATATGCCAATTTCATATTATTCTTGGAACTCGCTAAGATTATTTAATTTTCCAATATAAAAATATACGAAATTGTCATTGAAAATTGGCGTTTGAAACTATTTCGTGAACTACTTAGCCGTAAATTCATGCTCGATCAAAAAATCATGCATTAAACATAAATACATGATTTTTTGTTCTTCTGTAAAAAATTAACGAATTGACGTTTCGAACTGGTTCATTGGCCTTTGCCAAAAATTCGAGTGGCTTTGCATTTGCGGAAAAGAACAACCAACCGGAGAACTTTTTGGCGGACCAACTCGTGCAGCTTTGCTGTCTTGGCCATGTTGCAATTAACTGCCAACTAAACAGCAATTGGCCACAATTATTATTATTATTATTATTTTGGTACGGCTATTTTTGCAATGTTTTTTGTGTTTGCTCTCGACTTTTGCAGTTGTTGTTGCCGCTGCTGTTGGCTGTTGTTGTTTGCAGCATTTGGTAATTGTTTTTGGCATGTTTACCATTTTGGTTGGCTGGGCTTTGGCCCGCACATTTATCTATTCATGTGCACTTGGGCCATATTAAGCATATGTCTACCTATAAGATATACTTTTTGCTCGGCTACCGTTTGGGTGCACATGCGTGGAGCGCACAGTCACAGATTTTAGCAACAGATTCCGCTTTAGCCATCGGTTACGCCAATGACCTTAATTCGCAATGGTCATACGTAGCTCGTTTTTCTTCTGGCTCCGCCAATTTGCAGCACATATTTCACATTCGGCTTAGATCATTCGGGCAACCAACAGGGTTCAAATGTTGTTTGATTTTGTCATTTGTTTAGTCGCACAGCGTGTGGGCCCATGGCGGATCTGGGTTTCTCAGCGAGGCCAATGCAATACAGAGTAAATCGTAAAACATTGATTACTACACGGAAAGCTTTATTAGTTACAATATCTAAGGATATTTTTAATAGCTTAACAAAGAGATTTGTTGTTTGTAATATGTTTGTAATGCATATATGCACAAAAATTGTTTCTTAAAATAAAATTTAATCTAACATACGAATATTTCATGGATATTGTAAAAATATTTTCATGGTATGTGTATATTTGCACTATTTCATCCAGGAACTGCCCATTTATCCATTTAAACCAAGTACATGATTATAAGGCTCGCTTAACTAGTCTACATATGTCTCTATAAAGTTCCAATATGTGTATATATATATGTATATTTATATAAGTGTATGTACCAAAAGTGTACATTTTTGATATATTTGTTTAATAAACTGTATAATGCACTTCTTATAGCCCTGCGAATAAATATTTATGAATTTAATAAAAACTAATTTGAAATGCAATTTGCAATTTTTTCTTTGTCTTCATATTTTTTTTTTTAAATAATTTTTTGGTAATTAATTTTCATTCATATCTCAATTTCTTAAATATATATTTTCCTTGCATTTGCATATGCACCGACAACAATGTAAATCTTTGTTGCTTAAGAAAATGCAACATTTAATATGATATTTGATATATGTATATACGTTATAGGTATTATAGGTTAAGGTAATAGATTTTCAATGTTAAGGTACTAAAATTAACTGCCATAAAGCTGGCTTGGGTCGGTTCATTGTCTGCCTTTGTCTGCCTCATTCGAATGACTCGAATCAGTTGCATGACTCGAATGGCTCGAATCATTCAACTAATTCGAACCACTTCAATCGCACCTTAGTGTCTCTCTCCCTCTCTTTCACTCTGCCTTTCTGTCTGTCACTCCACCTGTTGTAATTGGAGCTCATGTTTCTCATCCTCATCGCTGACATACATGCGGGTCAAGTCCGAGGCCACTGACACATTGTCGCTGCTGCGATTAAAATTGAAGATGTTAAAGTCATCGGCAAACATAAGCATTAACTTGGTAGAAACCCGACGAAATTGAATGAAAATCGATTTGTTCAAAATGAAAAAGAAAAACAAGCAAAATACCGCCCGATAAGTATTTTGCATTTCAAATAGTCGCGCCTTTAAAGGTAGCCTAATGGAAATAAATAATATTAGAGTTGGACATGCAACCGCCTCCAATTTTGGTTGGATTCGAATTCGCCTTAAATTGAATAATTGCCCGCCATAAATTTATGTGAGACACTGTATAAAAATGCTTGGCATGCTTCCGCCGTGCTTCAGGGCGATCGGGCGATCGGGTGACCATTGACTATTGGATATTGACAGGTTGACATTCTGTCAGTTGTGTGGCTCGAGATTCGTTTCATTCGGTTTTGGCATTTGCGCAATGTGTCTAATTGTCAATTAGCTGGCCTGCTCTTGGCATGGCTCAGTCTCAATCTCAGAGCCAATCACTAACTCACTCACTTGGCAAACTCGTTTTCGTAGACCGATGCCACCAAGGCGCTGTAATCCTGATCCGTATTGCTGGGCCGCAAGTAGCGTGCGCCCGTCACCGCCAGCCGCTCAAACGACGTCTTCATCAACGCATCCGAATTTCCATCCGGCATATTTGGCATTGACATCGAAGATGCAGTGCCGCCACAGCCGGAGCTGCTGCTGTTCTCATTCGGTGGCGCCGCGAAGCTGCAGTTGCTCAACTTGTTCATACAGACCAACGTACTAGTCGGATAGCCGGCGTTCAGCTTTGTATGTGAAGCCTGAGCCATGGAG